AAGCAATGATATAAACCCAGATCAAAACATTACAGCTTGTACCTACCTCCAGCTGAAATACTCTTTACTGAGAAGTGTATAATCTCAGCACCCTTCCACGCATTTCCTTTCCTCCCAGTAAATATGTGTTTTTGTTTGTTTGGGTTTTTTGGTAGATACATTCAGATTCATGAAGTTAACTCTGTGCAAGTTTATCAGATAAGGCCTTACAAATACGTTCTGTATACACCTGGGAAAGAACAGAGTTAAAAGGAGGTTTTCAAATGTTTGTTAAAATAAAAACACTACATTTATTTTGATTGTTCATGATCCTCTTTCTTCATTTATTATGAACATTCATACACATGATAATGTTTTGCCTGCAAGTATATTTGAATAATTAAATCTAATTGGAGTTTCTTCAATAGTATTTAAACAAAATAACCATTTCTAATGCAAATAAATCTTTAGATTTCCATCCTACATTTTATAAAAGATAAAAAATGATGACCAATGAACATTGTGAACAGAGTTAAAAGTTCAGGGGCATTTCATGTGCCCACAGGTGTTTGCCTAAGGAATTTCAACAATTCTATAATAGCAAATTCATAAGAAAAAATGAGGTCTGTTTTTCAGAGAAAAAGGGGCTAATTTTTTTTCAGAACATTTACTATAAATATTTCATGCAGTTCTGTTTCTGTCTATAGTTTAAATGGCCATTCAGAAAATTGCATGGAATTTGTTAGGAGTATTAATGAGGACAGAAATTTACTTATGTCGTGAGGCTCTGATCCTCTTGGTTGTTATACTGTATCATCATTTCAGTGCTGTGATATACATTCTACATAGTTTCTTATATAATATCTACCACCAAACAATGGCCAGGTACAGATGTTCAGGTTCTATTGGGAGAATTTATGTTCTCTTGGTAGAAACCAAAAGTGTGCAGATCTTAAGGCCTTTTCTCCTGGACCAGAAATGGCTGCTCCAGGAAAAAAATAACCCAGCAACAATCAAGTTTAAATTGCTCCCAGGTAAGTTTCTCCCTGGAGACTCAACTTCAATACCAGTGGTTATCAACCTTTTTAGATTTGAGGCACCCCTGGACAAATTAGAGGCACCCTTGGGAAAATGTGATCTCTTAGTTTTCATTCTTTTTTGACCACAGAAAAATAATAGAGCATTTTCTTCTGTTGCAAAGATCTCAGATAAACTATGGATTTCTATTTGAAATATCTGGGTTTATCTTGCAGTGACACCCTGGTTAACAATCTCACTGGTTTATACAATTTTCCATGGCTTAACTCCTGTGGACCAGGATGAGTGGAGCTGGTTCCCTGCCTTGCCAAGACCACACCTTCCAGTCTTGGAAGGCATGAGGGCAACTGCTCCTCCCCTCCTGTACTTGAGCTGAGGGGAGCTGATTCCACATCTCCATGCCTCTTCTCCATACTAGGCAGTCCCTAGTTTTGGAAAGAGGCAGGAGGCTTTGCTGGCTCCTGTTGGCTTCTACTTACTGTCCCTGTCACCCAGCTGAACATTGGGGTGTCACTTTAAAAGCTGGCCACTGGGAGCAGAGTTCCAGGAAAGTCTTTCTGACCCAGCTCCCACCACCTCTGCCTTGCTGCCTAGCTGAGTGGCAAGGTGGCAATTTAAAAGCTGATAGCTGGGAGCAGGCCTTAGGGACCCTTCTTCCAGGTGCCAGCTTTTAAATCACCAACTTGCTACTCATCTGGGTGGCAGGACAACAAGGGGGAGCTGGGAGCTAGGCTGGACAAAATCCTGTGTATGCCCAACTCTCACCTTCTCCATCTTTTAAATTGTGATGCCCATTGCTCAGCTGAGTGGCAGGGGGGGGAAAGGAAAGCCAAAGCAACTGGGAACTGTGCATACAGAGACTTTCCCTATCCCTGCTCACAGCTTCCATCCTGCTGCCTGTGCTGCCCAGCTGATCCAGAGCAGTGTGGGGTAAAGTAGACTGCTGTCCGGTGGCAACAAGGCTCAGGAGCCTTGCCACCACCGTGAAATGCTGCTGCTGTTCTCCTCTCCTCCTGCATTCCTCTAGATCAGCCCAGAGGTGTGCAAGAAGCAGGACTGTTATCCTGTGGGGAAAAACCAAAAGAGTCCCAACCACAGGAGAATGCCTGTCCTTGCCAGTCAGCAGATTGCCAGGATTGGGGAGGGGCACATTCTGTCAGAGCTGGACTCCTTCCCAGCTGTCTGTTGCAGATGCTGCTTTTTAGCAGTTGCCAAGTGCCTTCCAAGGCAGGGGAGAGGCCAGGCTGTCAATTAATAAGCTACCCTAAGGGTGGGGTAGGCTCAGGGAGCAGCCCTCTAGTGCCTCATGGCTGGAGAGTTCACCTCTGAAGCTCTCCAGCCATGGAACTAAAGTAACATCTGTACAGTCCAGCTCCCAGGCGTTTTTCTAGTAGATGAAATTTCTTATGGTAGAAATGAACATCTGTATGCAGCCTATTTCTGAGCTCATTCCAAGGATTTATTAAGCAATGTATGCCATTTATTGGAAATAATTAAGTAATAGTTTCATGTCAGGTCAATATATTGAAATAATACTCTTTCTAGCAGAAGCGATTATATACCATACAAAGCTCAGCTGGTGCCTAATAAATTCTTTGCCATGTCCGAGGTGTTTTCTCACAGTCACGCTGGCTTTTAGGAATCCCTATGTGATGTCTTCTATTCTGTAATACAGTTATTATATTTCTTTGCTTTGATCTCTAAGCACACTGTAGAAATACCTCAGGCTGCTGGCTTGCAAATATATTTGAGGGAGAGAGCCCTTCTATTTGCATGTAAGTTTTAAGTATAGGTATTGCTCAGAGCCGCTCTTCCTTTCCCTAGTGCTCTGAAAAAAACTGCTCCTTCACCTGTCCCTTTATTTGTTGTTTAGGTAAATGATGATTAGTGCAGCACTGAGGTGGTAGGTGGTTAGTGGTAGTCTTTCTGAAAACTTCAGTTGGCTCATAATCCATGTATATTTGTGTTTCAGAAGTTGGATTCTTCTCTCTGGCTCCAACTTTCATTGATCTCTGGTTCCTGTTCTGCAGGCAGCTTGCCAAGGTCCCTGATAGTTGAGGGCACTCTTTGTTCTGCACCGGAGACAATGCAGTCTTGTTTTAACTACACTTCCCTATTGAAACTTTCACTGAACACTGGGCCAGTGTCTTGCTTTCCCATTGTCCTCTGGATTGTTCTCCCCCAGTCTACTTCACCTTCATGATGTAAAACATTCGTCATGACCATCCCTAGCCAGGCTTCCTTTTCAAAGGGAGTGTCCCTGGATCAGAATCAAGCCTTTTGGCTTCTAGTGCTGTGGATGCATAATGCTATGGAACAAGTAAGTAATTGTTACTAACTCATGATAGTAAGATTAAGCCTGGTAGTAAGTATCTGTGAGATCAGAGTCTTGATGGACAAACTGTCTATAGAGTATGCATACTGACTGCATCTCCTATATGACTACAAAAGGTGTTTTGCATATAATTCAGAAACAACTTGCCATTTGCAATACTTTTTCCTTACAGGAGGCATAGGTCAATATGTGACAGCTTTCAATGCAACCAATTTGATATCTCAAATATTGCTAGTGGTTTGCGGGTTTGTTTCCCTCGAAAAGTGAGGGCTGCAATACCATGCCAAATTCCAAACTATTATCTTTCTATGAGAAAAATACTGTTTAAAAAACATCTAAACCTGATAAGGCGCCTCTCTGAAAATAGAACTTGGCTCTTAGAAAACCTAAGACCTTTGCCCTTTATAACTCAATAGATTGAAATCTTAAAAAGAAAAGAAAAGAAACCCTCATAGCAAAGGACGCAAATGCCTAATTTTCCAGTTTTTAATAGATATTTCAGGGGAGTTGGGAGTTCCTGTTCAGCAAAGTTTTTAAAAAAATAAGACCAAGCATATTTTCTGCCTCAAATAAGTCAAACTTATTGAATTGTTTTCATTTTTGAACAGGCCCCTTCATTCATGTTATTGTTTTTACTTGTGCTGTAAGGCTGTCTCCCATTTTCTTTACATAATACAATACAGATGGTACTGATGTTGGCACTAAGGAGATGAATATGTTCGTATTGTTCGGAAGAGATAAAGGCCAAATCATGGCTCTTTCAGCACAGGTTTGCTGGCATGTGTGGGAGGACACAGATAACCCTTCTCTCTGTAGTGCACCTGCTCTGGAAGAAGCCATAATTAAGCTTCAGGGTTTGGGAATATTGCCAGCTTAACACAGTCAGTTCCAAGGAGGAGCGTTAGGTCTGAGAGGGCCGCCATGTGCCAGCAGTGCTGCCTGAGAGGGACCATTGACTACATCTGTTCGTGCTGCTGAGGGGTCTCTCCTTGATGCCTTTGGAGAGGCAAGACTTCAGGCTGTGCTCCCTCCTTCTTCCCTCCCCAGCACTTCTCAGCTTCTGCAGAGGCATAATTGTGCACTAAGCCTTCAGAGAATACTGTAAAACTACTGTAAAGTATAATTGCAGTCTTTTGACAGGATCTTTTCAGTGCTGAAGGTTGCCTTCATTTGCTCCTATTATTGTGTCAGTTGTGCATGGTTTTTCTTGTTTAAAAGTACTTCATCTTTTTGTTTTTCCTTTCTGAAAAAGCTGACTCACGGGATGAAAGGGTAAGGTTGCTGTTTACATGGAAAGTCTGACCCTCAAGGTAAGGGGCCTTTATCTCCCAGTGATATCACTCAGCACATTGGAAGAGTGTTGAGCACCTCACACTATCAGGCTCTCCCTCTCTTTTGAACTTCCTGATAACTGAAAGCATTAAAATACAGGAATATGATAAACCAAGCTTTTGGGAGTAACCTTTGTTTATTTGAGTGATATTAATTCTCCTTCTCCACAAAGCATCTATCATTTATCAAGCCTTGCTACCGTTTCATCCATATTGTATTTAAAAAATGCACTCCTTTTTAAAACTATAAGTTTGAAACTATATATTGAATAGAGACTTTTTAATGCTGTCATCCCTATGTAAGGGCTTTTCATCAGTCTCTTCCTCTCAAAAGGCTTGATTCACAAAGGGGTGTTTTGGCACTCTGATAACCAGTTGCAACCCCAGACCTGAGTTTGATGCCCATTTCCTTCTACAAGACATGGGGAAACTTTGGCATTTAATAATGCAGTTCACAGAAGACAGCAAAGCTGAACCTGTGAACATCCAGTAGAAAATGCTAAGGAAAGAGACAGGGTTAGGCAGTAGGGGTGTGCGAAATGGGCTGTATTTAATTTGGATTCAGATTCAGCCTGAATCGGGGACAGTGATTGGATTCGTTGATTCAGATCACTGTCCCCAATTTGATTCAGCCGAGTCTGAATCTGAAAGATTCTATGCTGATTTGGAGAATCAGCAATTCGGTCATAGACACAGCTTTATATGATTTTTCTACATACCTCAAGGTACCAGGTGTGGCTCGTGAATGCTAAAATGTTGGGGAGGATGGAGCATCCCACAGGAGTGTGGGAGGCCCCCATGTGTGCTCAGCCATGAACCCAGAAGTGGCCCTGAAGTGCTTTTGGTCCACTTCTGGGTCTACTGTCAAGCACACTGGGGACCCTGTGCAGCCCTCCGGCTTGGCGATTGGCTGTGGGGGGACCCCGGGTGCTCCCCCAGACCCAGGAGGCACCAGACACCAAGATGGGGGGCACCCCCCCATGCACCTTTAAACTAGAGTGGACCCGGAAGTGGACCAGAAGTGCTTCTGTTCCACTTCCAGGTCTGTTGCTGAGTGTGCTGGGGAGCTCCTTGCACTCCTGTGGGACACTCTATCTGCCCCATCATCTCAGCATTCACGAGCAGCCTGGTACTGTGATGAATGTAGAAAACACATTTAAAGCTGTGTCTATGTCCAAATCACTGAATCTTTCCAAATCTCTCCAGATCAATTCAGAGGATTCCAATTCAAAGGGAGTTGAAGACATGCTTTCAAATTTCTATTCTGCCTGACTTGGGATAAGGATTTAAGGACAGGTTTCCCACATCTTAGTTGACTCCTCTAAGTACTGTATCAAGTCGTTAGGTATCCAGGAGGAAATATCTCTCTCCTTTTGCGGCTTTCAATTTTCTATGGTATTCTATTTTTTAATGAAAGTGAAGTTTGATAAAAATTAATTTTTCATAAGGACTACTATTGACCACTGAATATTAAAACTAAAGTAATCAGAACAACATCTTGAAATCATAAAGTTCTGTTTCACTTATGGCTTGTCCTCACTGAGGTTTTTTGAACCTGGTTGTCAACCAAGTTATTTCTCAAATTATGTTTAAAAATGTATATGAGTGCTGTATTATTTAGTTTGAGATTAAAATGTTTTAATCTCAGTCTAGAAAAAATACCAATAATCTTTTGCCAATCCTTTTTCCTGCACATGTACAAATAACATTACCCATAATACACAATGAACTGGTACCAAGTTTAAATCTAATTTATTTTGACTTTTCAACATGTGACTGCAGATAACTTGAATTGTAAGTCTATTTTAATATAAATCGCACAGTTATTTTAAGCAGTGTTTAGACCAGTGGTAAATATTCTTAACATAAAAACTCATTAATCCAACTGTTGTAGAAGCTGTCAGTTCCTTGATAGCAATAGTCTTGCTGTTACTCTTGATCAAGAGACATGTCTTTTGAGCAGGAATAGCATTGTTAGTACGTAGCTGTTCTTGCAACATGTACAGTGGGTTGGCACCCATGCTTAGATTAATTACAGCTCAGAAAGGATGGGAATCAAACTGGGTGCTTTTGACCACTTTTAAACTTAACCATTATTTCTCTGCATTTAGGGTTAAGTGTATTAATAAAGCATAGGTACACATTAGACAATTATTTCATATATGCCTTTAACTTATATGTGGGCTTTCAGAGGAATAACATTTGGCTTTGCTGTAAGTCCTATGGGTAGAGCAACATGAAGTCATGCTGTAACAAGAAGAGACAAGGAAGTAGACTGTCTCTCATAGGTCTGAGTCAGACATAGTGGGGTCAGTATTTAGGAACCAAGGGTCAACAGGGCCAAGTGGGAGGGCTTTTTAGCCCCTCCCATCAAGGCTTCAGTTGGTTCCCCTGTGTCACATGGTGCCCCATTAGGAACCTTGTGAGAGATCCCAGGCTGGGCTAGGTCTAGTACCCAGCCAGTTGCTTGGTGGTGCTGCACCATGGAAGACCTGGGCTTGAGCCTCAGTGGTCCTGACCCTCTTCAAGTGGGGCATAAAATAGAGCATAGTCTGCATCAGTCCTCTCTCTGGCACTGGTCTGTCTTGTGCAGGCTGACATGCTGGGAGGAGTGGATTTAAAGGTCTATCCATTACCTTCCCTTCCTTTGCTTTATGAAGATTGTGTCTCATGGTATAGAAAGCATTTGTGTTACTTTCACAGTGACCCCATGCATCAGACTTCTTCCAGCTCTAGTTAACTGTTTACAGTTCTGGTTCTATGTGCCTGTGGTAGCTGGGTAGAAGGATAACAGGTCTTATCATTGATGAAACACTATTCTCCTTCTTAATGAAGTATTCAAGTTCTTTCAGAGGTTCCTCAGTTCTGGCCTGCAGTTGTACCTGTCTTCAGATTGGCCCAAATGATCTTTTTCCCCCCAGCATTATATCAAAAAATTTGCAAGATATTTACCTCAACCTAAGTGAAATGGACATTAGGAAAATGCCAATCTGTTTAGTTTTTCCTGGCTACCATGCTTTGGGAACAGAACTGACCAAGTTTCACATGCAGGTTATTTCCTCACTGATATGTGGTCCAGCAAATTCTGCCTGCTTGGTGGTAGCATTATATAATCAAGAAAACATTTTCAGAAGTTAGTCTGAAAATTCAGCTCTGAAACTGGGTCCATCTGGGTTACTCTGCATGTTCTCATAAGTCAAGATTTGGAGATCAGTTTGCTAAGCATGGACCATAATTTGTGTTTGGTTCTATTATAGAAACATGTTCCTTGGTTCCTGAATTTTTACACTTCTGTAAACTCATGTGTGCAGTGACAATGGGATTTGATTGTGTATGTTGATTATTTAAATGTCTAATGACCCAATTTCTATGCATCATTTTAGATGGTCAAAACTATACAAAAATGTAAGCATACAAACCCAGAACTTGTTTTCCACATTCAGCCTTCATTTGTGATATCAGTAAATGAGTCCAATTCCATTTCAAATGTACAGTTTGTTGCTACATTTTCACAGTGAGTGTTGCCTGGGGCCAAATGTTTGGTAGATAGAAGCAGAGCACTCATATTGTAGCTCAAAAATGTTTATATAGTTTTTAAAGCAATGGTTTACTATTTTTAGCAGAGAAACATAAAATACTTTTCCAACCTCTGTTTTTAAAAAGTTGTCTATTCATATTTGATATTCAGTAGATAAAAATGGAGGTCAGGATTTTCACACCTAGATGTTTTTTAAAATTGCTTCTTGCTAACTCTGTGTCTGTAGGCACAGACATTTGAACCTCATGACACAACTTTCATATAATTTTCAGTTAAACATTTGCATGATATTTTATGCTAGATGATCTCAAATATATCCATTGCTGGATTTAGACTTAAGCTACTTAAGCTACAGTTTAGGGCCTTACAATATGAGGGGCCACTAAATAAGAAAAAAAACTGGACATTTTCATTCTAATATGACAAAAAAAACCCATATATATGGCTCCATCATTATTATTCATATTGAGTTCATAAATTTGTGCAGAAATAACAATAATTCATCTTAAAATGTCATGAAAATCCATTTTTGTGGATTTCATGGATTCTTTTTATCATATGGGGCCTCCTTAAAGGGGAAGAGGAGTCTAGGAGAACTGGCTCTACTTTAAGGAAGCCTTACTGAGAGTGCAGGAATAAACCATCCCGATGGCAGAAAACAAGCTTGGCTTAGCAGGGAACTCTTCAGTAAACTAAATCACAAAACACAACAAGGCACTGTATAGGAAGAGGAAACTTGAAGAAATAACTAGGGAAGAATATAAGAGCATTGCTCAGATAAGCAGGGATGAAGTTAGGAAAGCCAAAGCACAATTGGAGTTACAGCTAGCAAGGGATGTGAAGGGTAACAAGAAGGGTTTCTATATATGTCAGTAGCAAGAGGAGGTTCAGCAAAAATGTGGGTCCCTTCATGGGTGACTGGTGCCTTCTGGCTCTGGGGGGGCACCCGCGGCTGATTGCCGACCTCAGGGGGGAAGGGTCCGCTGGAAGAACCGGAAGTGCCAGCAGCACTTCTGGGGGGGGGGGGGGGGCGGCGCCAGCTAGTGCTCCCCACTCCCTGGCCAGTAAGGACCAATTTCAGTGGGGGCACATGACCCCCATGCTCTCCCTACACGCCGCCTATGGGTCCCTTACTGAATAGGGACCTTGTTACGCAGGGTGCAGAAAAGGCTGAAGTGCTCAAGTGCCTTTTTTGCCTCCATCTTCATAGGCAAGGGCAGCTCCCAGACTATTACACTAGGCAGCACAGTTTGGAGAGGAGTTGAGCAGCCTTCCATGGTGAAAGAACAGGTTAGGCATTGCTTAGAAAAGCTGGATGTGTACAAGTCCATGGGACTGGATGGGATGCACCCAAGGGTGCTGAGGGTGTTGACTAATGTGGTTACAGAGCCACTGGCCATCATCTTTGAAAACTCGTAGCAATCAAGAGAGGTCCTGGATGATTGGAAAAGGACAAGCATAGTGCCCATATTTATGAAAGGGAAAAAGGAGGATCCAGGAAACTATAATCTCACCTGAGTCCCTGGAAAAATCATGGAGCAGATCCTCAAGGAATACATTTCTAAGCACTTGAAGGAGAAAAAGGTGATTAGGAATAGTCAGCATGGATTCACCAGGGGCAAGCCATGCCTGACAAATCTGATTGCCTTCTATGATGAGGTGACTGGCTCTGTGGGTGCAGGGAGACCAGTGGATGTGGTGTACCTTGACTTTAGCAAGGCTTTTGATATGGTCTCCCACAACATGCTCACAGGCAAGCTAAGGAAGTATGGGCTGGATGAATAGACTGTA